TTTGAACCTATAATCTGTAAGATTGTGATCAAAGACCCTTTCACAGTTTTCTAAGCTTTTTCTTGCTTTCTCTAAAGTTGCTCTTTTTAAAAGTTTCTAGTAATGTATAAATCATAGTTTTTATATTTAAATCTGAGCTACACTTTTGACTTGAAGTATTGTAATATATTTTATCAGTGGCTGCATAGAACTGGGAAATTTGAGTAAAGCATGTATTGGGCAATAAGATAAAGCCTCCAGAACTGAGTTCTCCAATGGAGTGCACTGATATTGGAGTTTTCAGGCTGATTTCTCAGTGCTTAGGGTCTGATCCTGCACATAACTTGTACGTGTTCTGGTTGATGTCAGGCCTCACACCAGGAAATCTGCACAGCTGATCGCAAGGAGGAGCTTTAAGTAAGAGGGTAAAAGGCTTTAAATCTGCAGTGATATGTATTAAACATCCTCATGCAGATTGCAAAGGAACTTACTGCTTTGTGTATCAAAGCAAAGGCATTACCAAACCAAGTACCAGATACCTCAGATGACTGCTACAATAGGTCTATTTAAAAACCTATGTCCTTTTAGCTTTCTGAGTTCGTCATCTGATCAAAACATTTTGATAATAAACTGAAATTATGAGCCAAATGCAGTGTGTGTTCTTTACAGGAAATAGCAATAAAATAAAATTCTCTGCAAATAAGTGTCTACACCCACCCCTGAGCCCCACAGGCAGAGGGAGATTCAATTCCCAGTATCCAGTGTAACCTGCCCTCCTCCAGCTCAAGGCCATCCATCCTGCCATCAGTGCTGTGGCTGTCGGGGTGTCCCGAGCAGGGCCAGGAGCTGCACTGGTGCTCCCTGTGGGTCCTTCCAGCTCGGGACACTCTGTGCTCTGCATCCTCTGACCTGAGCAGGCCCCCAGGGCTCGTTCCTTACATGCTTTGTTAGTAAACAAACCCCACAACAAACACATCCCGAGCTCTCCACACAACTCCCAGGGCTGGCTCTGCACAGAACGAGCCTCTCAGGGAAAGGGAGAAGCTCTTCTGCTTTCACCCAGGAACCAACATTCCCCACAGCTTTGTACAACACGGGTATTGTAAAAGGCAAACGTAGCAAATCCTGTGCCGCTGGCCCTGGTGAGGGAACAGAGCCACGGAGCTGCTCTGAGGGAGCCAGGAATGGGGCTGGAGACGGAGTGCCCGAGCCAGGCTGGGATCCGTCCCAGGGGATCAGGGCAGGGATGGCAGAGCCAGGCTGGGATCCATCCCAGGGGATCAGGGCAGGGATAGCAGAGCCAGGCTGGGATCCACCCCAGGGGATCAGGGCAGGGATGGCAGAGCCAGGCTGGGATCCATCCCAGGGGATCAGGGCAGGGATGGCAGAGCCAGGCTGGGATCTGTCCCAGGGGATCAGGCCAGGGATGGCAGAGCCAGGCTGGGATCCGTCCCAGGGGATCAGGGCAGGGATGGCAGAGCCAGGCTGGGATCCATCCCAGGGGATCAGGGCAGGGATAGCAGAGCCAGGCTGGGATCCACCCCAGGGGATCAGGGCAGGGATGGCAGAGCCAGGCTGGGATCCATCCCAGGGGATCAGGGCAGGGATGGCAGAGCCAGGCTGGTCCCTGCACACCTGAAGGAATGCCCTCACCTTACTGTGGGACCCGGTAGGGTTCAGTTCCCTGCCCTGAGGGCTGATGTCCCATTACAGGGCAGGATTAAAGAATTCCAGACACACCCGCCGGTAACAAACACGGAGGGCTCCTACCTGAGGCGGCTCCGCGGCAGGTCCAGGCGAGCAGGGGCTCTGAGGGAACCGAGGTCCAGGCGGCCGAGCCCTGCCGGGCTCACCCCGGGCAGCCCGAGCTGGAACAGGGCCCGGGGGGCTCTGGGGCACCCTGGGGGCTCCTGCCATGGGGAGGGGCTGCGGGGCCTGGGGGCAGGGGACGGGCACCCCCCCTCGGCCCCGCCCTTCCAGAATATTCCCTGCCCGCCCCTCAGCGCCCCACCCCTTCCAGAACATTCTGTGGCCCCGCCCCTTCCAGAACATTCCCCCGCCCCTTCCAGAGCATTCTGTGGCCCTGCTCCCCTGAGGGTCAGCAGGTCCCCCGTGCCCTGAGGCTCCTCCAGCCCCATGGGGTGAGCGGGTGGCTGTGCCCCAGCACCGAGGGACCCTGCTCAGGGGTGACGCCTGCCTGGGCTGGGCACTCCACAGGGAGATCCTGACCGGGACTGCCCGGGGAAAGGGGAGGGGACGGGACTCTGCTCATCACTTTGCACTCTCACCCCAGAGAGGAGGAGAGGGAAGGACCCTCCGTTAGCCCCCCGGGAGGGTGTGTGCTCAATGATGGGGTTACTGGTACAGGTAAGCCCAGGTGTGGGAGGCTCTGCCAAGCAGAGTTAACCTCCAGAGCAGGTTAACCTGCTCCCTGTGCTGGGGCCAGCCCGGGGCAGGAGCAACGCACCCCGGAGCCACTGTCCTTGGAGCAGTGTGGGCTGGAAATGTCTGAGAGAAACTCTGGACTGGGATTGTCCAAGAGAAACTCTGGTTTAGGTGGTGTTATCCCAACACTCCGCTGTGTGCACACACTTGTACCCTGTGTAAACACCCCTAAACTGGATCACAGGCATTAAAGGAATATAAACACAAGTCCAGAGCAGTTTCCAGGATGCCACACGCAGATCCCAGGACAGATGGACAGAGACTCGTCCCTAATTGATTTACTCAAAGAGCTGTCAGAGGGAACAGGGAAAGCCACAGAGGCCATGGGGCAAACCTGGCACCCAGCTCTGCAGCAACAGCAACTCCAACGTTTCTGCTTGGCTTTTGTAGATAAAACAAGGAATAATAAATGAAACAGTACAGATCATCTTAGATCACAGAAAACATCATCCCACCAGCAGGAAAAAATAGAAATAGGCTTGGAAAAGGTGCCCACCCTAAAGGTGAGCAGGGCCCTTTGATCTTGGAGAACTGGATCTCAGGGACGGGATAGAGCTCATTAGGGACAGTTGTTATGCCCCAAAGCCATCACACTGTAACAATATTGGAATGTCCTACAGCCTGACACGGTGACAGAACTGAAGCTATGGCCTCTCTTCAGTAGTGTAGCACCAGAGCTCTGCAGGAAATCTGAATACACGTGGTTTTCTTCTCATCACTCACCAGCATCCGAGAGAAAAAACCCAGCACCCAAACACTCATTTTGTTTTTCAAGAATTAAAGACCCCAAACCTTTTGTTGCAGCTCTGACAGCCCTGTACATGTGGGGAGCTTCACATGGTACAGCTCCATTGCCCAGCCACCCCAGTGGGCTGTCCCAGGGTGGTTACAAAAGGTCACTTTGCAGAGCACTCCGTGGGCTTCCAACAGTGTGGGGGATGCATAATTTCTTGGAATAATCCTCTTTTTATTACTGTACAAAACTGGCAGAAACTTCCCCTTTGTACACAGCGAGTCAGTCTGACAATACTGAAGCCAGCCTAGAAAGTTATTTTGTTTTGCTCTGCCAAATCAGATCTTTCTGCTCTCAAAAATCAGGTAAAGCTAAACCAGATTGTAGTGTTTATATTTTAGCTCTGTAACATTTTAATTGGAAACATTCGATTTCCAGTGTTGTGAGACACCCAAAGAGCCACTTGGGCCAACAGGATCTCTCAGAACATTTCCCTCCAGGCCTGGTAAATGAGCTGAGATGTGAAAACACGGACATGGTTTCTATGGAGTCTCTGCTGGCCCTGTGTCAGTCAGAGCTGGGATCAGTCAGGGTGGGCTCAGTCTTAGAAACCCAGGAATTGGTCCTGAAAAGGAGATAATGAGGTGTCTGCTCACACAGCCCACCTGTACAGGTGAGCTGGAGGGGATGTTCTCACCTGGCAGTGACTGACAGTGATGCTGGAGGTCCTCACCTGCTGCAGGGATTGGGAATCTCCAGCTCTCCAAGAGACTGCAGGGTTTGTCCCCTCTCTTCCAGGACACCTGATGAAACAGCATCCCTCCTGTGCCCTCAGGTCATTTGCAGGTGAAGCAATTCGGTGTTGAGACAATTCCCAAAGGGAATGTCACACTTGAGTGCTGTTGCTGAGGCTGCTGGAGCGGCCAAGGAATGTTCACGGCTGCGCTACAGACAAATATGTTTGTGTTTCCATTCCTAAAGGACAACAGACAGTGCCCACAGATGGAGACAGGATGTCTGACTGATGTGCCTTCCTCACATTCTCAAACTTATACAAATTGTGTAAGCAGGAGCCAAAAAAATAGTTTCTCTCTCTGTTTAACCCCACCAGGGGTCATTAAGGTTTTTTTCACATTCCCTTAAACATTCATCTTGCTGGGATCTCCCAGACATGCCTCCCACAGTCCGTTCTCTGCTTTAACTGGGGATTGAATTATTAATGATTTTGTCTTCTGAGAACTGCAACTCTTCAGTATAAAACCCTTCATGCTCAGAAGCTCAAGGCTGTCTGTGAAAATGCAGCAGCTCAGATCATCTGACGATTATTTCTGATTTAAATGGGAAAGTCACTGGAAGTTCTCAAGGCACATTATCCATGAGGGGAATATAATTATTTCCAATTATAATTAAAAAAGACAACCCCCCAAGTACAAGACAGTCAGGGGGCCAGAGTGAGCCTGAGCCATGATTCCAGGCACACTGAGCTGTACAACAGCCCTCCCAACCATAAAAAAGCCTGAGGTTTTCTGTTCGAAGGACGTACATATTTCTGTTTCATAACAATAGATTCCAATAGATCTTCCCCATAATAAGGCTAAAAATACTTCCCCAGGCCCCATGAGAAATTAACCCTTGCCTGTTTCTAACAAGTTTGAAGCTCCTTAGCTATTTTAAAAGTTTGCTATTCAGCGGGCAGGCAGGTGTCCACCTACACAGGACTCCAAAACCACTCACCCCATTACAAACCATTTGGAAACTGGGAAATTGGTTTGGTGACTCTTCCTAAAGCTCTAATTAGCATGTGAAACACTGTGGATAAAAAGCGTACACCATGTTTACAGTGTTGATATTAAAAATAACTCATTTTATACTTATTTTAGCCATTAGAAATCTCAGTTGAACTTCCAGGTTCTTCTAATCAACATCTCTGTAAATTCTTCTGTCCTGCAAGACAAAGCAAATTCCATTTGAAAGATGGCAGTGCCAAGCAAGGGAAGCAGAGGTGATGTGTGGCACGTGCCAGTCACTTACTGCCATCAGGAGAAGACAATGTAAACCATGAGGGCACATCCCAGGAGCCAGCCAAGTGCCAGGAGCACAGGGACAACCAGGCGGGACAGCGGGGCTGGGGCTGCAAGGGAGGAGAGGGGCTGTGACTGAGAGGCCACGTTACACAGGCAGGGAATGATCCCAACACATCAAACCAGGAGTGTCCCAGCCTGCCTGACCATCCGTGTGCCTGGACCTGCAGGAAGGGGACACTGAATTCCCACACCCCAAAGGATGGTGGCAGTGGCTGCACAGCAGAGATTCCCAGCTCGACTCCCTGCCCACTGTATCCTTCCCATGTCGTGTCCCCACAGCCACACAGGGAGCTCAGGTTGAGGTGATTAACCATTGCAGGGCTGTTTCCTCCTTTCCAGCAGGAAAATACCACAGGAGTGTCCAATGTGGAAACTCTTACAGCTGGGCCAGCCACAAACAAGGGGTGAGTTGCCCACTAGTCCTAGAACAAGGAGCCCAGTGCAGGTGATGGTTCTCCACGAAGCACATGGAAAGCAGAACTGGCTTTATATAAATATATTTCTGTACAACATCAGAATTTTAAAGACCCTTCTATCAGTTTCCTGCAAATAGCAGTCTCTTGCCAGAAAGCAGAATCCTATTACTCACCAACATATTACAACCTCTTAGAGCAGATCTCTCTGCAGTTAATACATTTCCAGGTTTTTGAAGGGATTAATAAATTATGTAAAACTATTCACAGCACCTTGCACAGTTTAGATCAAGCAGGCAGACTTAGAGGGATGCTTAATAATTAAGGATTGCCACATTGCCCTTTTAAAGCTGTGCACAACAGACCTCTCTCCACGACACTGCACAGTGTGTCTGCCAGAGGGAGAGAGCACAGAGAGAAAATCTGCATGTGCTGCCATGAAAATATTAAACAGATAAACAACCACAACAGCAAAGATAAAATCCTGCTCTGAAACTGGGAGTCCTTTTGCCACAGGGGAGTTTAATTTAAACTCCCTTACCTGTTTAATTTAAAGACTGTTACGGCTTTGACACTGTGCAAGGTAAAGCTGCTTCTCCGGGAATCATTTCTCTTTACTTGCCATTTTTCTAAAGGTCTAATTACAGCCCCAAGGCTGGATCCTGCTGGGTGCACAGGGCAGTTCTGTCAGAGCTCTGCTCATGCTGCTGTGTCTGCTGACTATGGGAGTCTGTCATGTGAGACCCAGCTTAAACCAGTGTCAGTGTAATTTCTGTGGATACCAATGAAAACTGAAATAAAGACACAGCGTTCAGCATCCTGTTGTACCTCAGCAGAAATTCACTCTCCTCCTCAGATACCAGAGTAAACGGTGCAGAACCTGGCAGATAAGTCTTTAGAAACTTTTAACATAGCTATGAAGATGGATTAAAAAGTTCCTTTTGCAAGGACAAGTGTTACCTGAGGACCTGTGCACAGCAAACACCACAGATACACTTACAGCTGGGAGTTTAAGTGAACTAAATAAAAAATGACAATGGATACAAAATGCATTTTTATAAGCTGCCTTTTCTCCTTGGAGACAGTGAGGTGTGCTTGCAATGGAAAGCTCATTATTAAAATTTCATTTTGCTCTGTCACTCAAGCTTTGTGGGGTTAAAATCTAAATTATTCTACGTTCACCCAGAACTGCACTCAGAGCTCAGCTACACACAGACATCAAAAATGCTGTCAAACAGATCTCATTTTACATAGTTCTGTTCTATTGTGTTCACTAACCTGAAATTACTGCTACAAAACACTAAAGAAAAAACTGGTGGGATTTAGAAATACAGGAGGAAGACAAGCTACTTTTAACTCACTGCTGTTAATAGAATTAGCTTTTAAACTGGTAACTTAACATAAAATACATAGTGTTTCAACAAGAATACAAGTAGCTGAGTATTGTCACATTTTAAACTGGTAACTGTTACTGAAAAGTAAAATACATAGTGTTTCAACAAGAATACAAATAGCTGAGTATTTTCACACTACACTGCTCAGGTTTATTCATTTTAATATATTGTTACATTCACATTTCACAGTGCACCTTACCTGGTTCTGCCATTCCCCCTCTGCTGGTTTAATGGCAGGTTTAAGGTTTGTCTCTGCAGTTGTTCTGGGAGCCTTGGGATGCTTTAAATAGAGCGATATTTGGAATGTGCTGCAGCTGCCTGGCTCACTCGTGCCAGGGTTTGGCTACGTGCATTCAATTGTCTAAAAAGGCAGGAATTCAGGGGATTCAGGGTTACCTCTGCCTGGTCCTCCAGCTGCACATCTGTCTCCGAGCAAAGTGAATAAACGGAGCTCAGTTTTTGAAGGGGGAGAGAAACAAGGGTGAAAAGTGTTTTGTGGTCTCTTTATAGCCATGAAACACCACATGGTAAGTTCAGATAATATTTATGACCATCCACATATTTAGAGCGTGAGAGGGACCCAGTTCTTAATCCCCCACATCTCCTCTCATCCCTCTCCTATCAAAACCCAAGCCAAGCCCTACTCAGATACTTCTGCAGTTATTAGTTCTTTCCTAAGCAGCACCAGGAATCTCATTCTGCACAAAGCACAGAGGCACATTTAGCTCCCTCCCCCTGAACGGGTACAGGGTGCAACCACAGGTTTTCAGCACTCCTGGGGGAAGTGGACAACAAAATTCCAGGAAGGAATATTCCTAAAAAATTCTGAGAATTATTTTGTCCTAAACAGGATAAATTATTGCAAACTGTCTCTAATTCAAAGGAGAAAAAACATGGAGACAAGTGCCAGATCTGAGCCAAAAGCACAAACTGCACAGCAGGTCATGTCACAGCAAAGGGGAGCTGCGTGTGAAGATCCCTCAGAGTGATCCTGGGTTTCACCAATAAGCAGGAAAAAGTGTTCAGGGGAAATGAACCAAGTGTGCAGAACGCTCAGAGGAACAGCACACATGCCCTGATCCAAAGGCTTTCCTTCAGGAATGAGAGGAGACTTTCTCTAACATTCACCAAGTTTATACATAATCCCATCTCAGACCTGTGCCTGGAGAGTAAATGAATCAGGGATTCTTCCTGTGTTTCTGAACTGGAAAAGGACAGAAACGGCTGCTCCAAAGCCATTCCAGGTAACAGGTGCAAGGATGATTTTGAGAGATCTAATCTGGATGTTCATATAGTTGAGAGGAATTTCTTGTGGGCTCCCAGAAGACAGGACAGTGCTCAGAAACACATTAAGCAGATCTAAAAGAGATGATCTCTTCTTATCTGCTTGTTGATTAAAAATTAAATACTTTACAAATCAATTATCACCTTTATTCAGAATTGCTTCCCCTCATACAATGGCTGTGGGATCACATCTTCCTTGGAGTCTCTATAACCAGCCCAAAGAACAGTGTCTCAGGAACACTCTGACATCCACAGAGGGGGAGCAGCACTGAGCTCTGGCCACACTGTGCTGAGCAGTTGTTTTACATCAGAGACAAATTCAGCCCTGTAGAGATGGTTTATTGCACACTATAAACACTCCCTGGGCTTTGGAGCCCAGAGGGAATTCTAAGATGATGATTCCAGAACAAGAACTGAAGCCAAGTCATGTCACCTAAGGAAGTTTTCATCAATGGCACACAATCCCAGACTGGTTTGGGTTGGAAGGACCTTAAAGCCCATCCAGTCCCACCCCCTGCCACAGGCAGGGACACCTTCCACCAGCCCAGGTTGCTCCAGACACCATCCAACCCGGCCTCGATATACCTTGATGTCTCTACAGCTGTTTTCTGCCACTTCTCTGCATTTTTGAGCAAGACAGTTCTCTTTAAAAACTGCTTGTCTTTCCCCAAACACCATGTAGGGAAGGTGATTTCATTACTGCTTACCCAAAATAAAACTCAGGGCTATAAAGCACTTTATTATGCCATGCACAATTCAGCCTATCAACAGTCTGAGACACAAGAACAAACTGTGAGCTTTGCTGTCTTGGTCTGGCTTTGCTATAGAGCAAATCTTTTTGGATAAGATCCAATTTGTTGCAAAAAGAAATATGACTCTGTGCAATATATTTATTGAGAAAGCCATCTCTGATACAATGACTTCCTTGGCTGCACAGCTGTTCCCATAAGAATCCTATCTGTTTTGGTTCTGCTAATTATATATATCCATCTGATCACATGGAAATAATTTCCACCAGGAACCATGTATTCCTGACAAGACCACCTGATCTTCAGGGCTTGGGATCTTTCCAGGCCCAGTTGCCACAAGCAAGGGCAGTGAGTCATTGCTGCTCTGCCCAGCTCTGGGCACTGCTGCCCCGGTCCAGCTGCACCCACAGCCAGTGCTGCCCTGCACGTCCTGAGCAGGGCATCAAGGGCATCAAGGGCATCAAAGCTGTAACTGCAGCAAAGAGCAGAGTAACAATATAGACATTATTTTAAACAACACATCTTCTGATTGGAACTGAGGAATGGACTGCAGACATCAATCCTACAATAGAGCTCAGTCCAACAGACAAAGAAAAGCAGGGGAACAGTCTCAAAATATAAAAAAACCAGGGAGAGGACACAAGGCTTAAGAAAAAACTAAGAATGATCCGTGGCAAAACACATCTACTGCTTTGCTGCTAAACAACAATACACAAGAAAAACAATTCCCTCATTTCTATTTGTGCTTCAAGTTACGTGATAATTTCTGTATGTTCTTCCCTCTGAGCTTGTGCTGGGACACTGAGATACTCCATGTCCAGAGTTAGATGGGGAGCTGAGTTTGGGAATTAGATCTCTTTTTTAGCCTCCAGCTCACTGAGGTGCTCAGATTGGTCTCACTTCCGGAACCTTTGGAGCAGACTCCTTGACTTCATTTCCATTAACTGCTCAAGGCTGGGAATCACTTCAAATGCTTTAAATGGCTCATTGCTTTAAGTGAATGAGGGCCAAAGTCAGGAGGAGGAACTGAGGCAGCAGGGCTGTGAGACTTCCCGGGAGAGAAGCAACTTTAAGGGGAAAAACCAGTGCTGATGTTTTAGAAAATATTCCATTCTCTTCTTCGGAACCACGTGGGCTCTGCCAGAAGGAAAAACAAACAGCCCAGCTGCATTCCTTGGCTGGCAGGTTCAAAGTCTGCTCTGCCCAGCGGAGCCGCGCACGGCGCCGGCCCTGGGGAGCACAAAAACCCTCTGCAGGTGTCTGAGCTGTGCCAAAGCTCTGGGGAAGGGCTGGAGGGAACAACATCCCTGCTGCCTTCCAAGCATCCCACCTCAGAAGCCAAAGTGCTTCATTGCACTGATCACTATCTTTGGCTGTTCCCTCAGCCCACAGAGGAGCTGTGGGAGCCTGGAGCCTTCCTTTGGGAGACTGAGCCATCCTGTCTGAGCTGTTTAACCTCGGGAGACTGAGCCATCCTGTCCCAGCCCTTCAGCCCTGGGAGACTGAGCCATCCTGTCCCAGCCCTTCAACTGCTCCTGCCCCAAAACTGCCAGGGAGGGAGGACCTGGGGAGTTGTCAGTGCTCCTCCATCAGCCAGGGATCCTCAGCATCTGCCCTAGAGCATGGAGGGGATCATGGAGTGCTAATGGAACTGTAAAGGCTGGAAAAGACCTCTACAATCAAGTCCAACTGTCACAGGAAGTTAACATGCAATGAGGTGATTAAAGCCAGAGTCCAATCCTAAAGAAAATGGGACCAATCCAGCCAACAGTGGCAGAAATGTGACCCAGGGCCCTTGAACAGGCAGGATGGTTGTGCAGGAGCTTCCCTGTGGGATAATCCAACCCTGGGCCATGCAGCCAACAGGGCCATTTAACCACGTTGTTGGGAATGGGTTTTCCTGTAACATCACCGGGCACAGATCTCCCATAAGAACCCTCAGCACTGCCCCTGCCCCGTGCCCACACACAGAACCCTCAGCACTGCCCCTGCCCCGTGCCCACACACAGAACCCTCAGCATTGCCCCTGCCCCGTGCCCACACACAGAACCCTCAGCATTGCCCCTGCCCTGTGCCCACACACAGGGGCTGTCAGGCAGCACAGGCTCAGCTGGGTGGGGTTGGAGCCGCCCCCAAACCCCTCGGGGTGCAGTCAGGAGCTCTGCTCTCCCCTCCCCAGTCGGTGCCTCTCTTGGGCAATATTAAGGAAAGCGTTGGCTGTAAACGATCCCACAGCACCTCACTGAGAGGCAGAACTTCCCCTTCTGCACCAGAGACAGGTTTCCACATGGAATGCTGGGAGCACAGCCCAGAGAGCAAATATCAACTGCATGGAAACAACCCCATGGATGCATTTCCTGGGCTCTTTCTGCTGGATCCCAGTGATTTAGAGCCTGATGTTTGGGAGGGAACTGTCAGAACCTCACTGACACACCACCCACTCTGCAAAGTCAGTTGGCCATTTTTGGTGTTAAAATAGCCAGTATGTTGAGAGCACATCCCAATCTTCTTCATTTCACCAGTACCCAGACATTAAATACTAGAAAGCTGAATTTCTGTCTTCATTACTGTACTTGTAATCCCTGGAAATCTGCACACAATGCAGCAGGCTGGCAAAGCAGGGCTTTGTTTTACAAGTTCTACGTGAGCCATATAAATAGCTGCAGGCTAAACTGCTGTAGAGGACAGGAGGGGGACAGACCAACTCATCTTCACAGAGGGAATGCTCCAAGTAATAAAATCTTTACAGCTTTGTAATATTGGTATTAATTTTTAAATCACATTTCTTTCTTTCAGTTGAGCTTTTTCCTTACCCCTGATTTACTAGCAAATCAAAAGCCACATTTATATGCCTTGAATTGTTTTATGACTTTGCCATACACTCCTGTGACACGCAGACTAACATGGGAGAATATCAGATTTTTGCTTTCAAGAAATAGGTTTCTGTGTGGAAAACTTGTCTAATGAAATGCATTTTATTACTCACACCAGTCTTAGCACTTGAAAGCTCCCTTAGAAATTGCCAGGCATTACTTCTATTCACATTTACATCATGAAAATAAAGGCTGATTTATTTGATAACTATGCAACTAAAGACCTGAAAAAATCCATGTATTAAGCTACTAAATATTTAATTCCACAGCCTGTTTCCCAAGGCTTGGGGTCTGCACGTCATTTCTCTTGGCAGAGAGAAGTACCACTCACTGAGTGCTGAGATACCTGCTAAAAACCAGCTGCAAATATGATGGAGGAACTGCTCTATCGTGTCCCCATCGACATGTGCCACAGCATTGCTGGACTGGCT